AAGATTAAATCTTATCTTTGGACACGCGCCGTTAAAGATATTACGTAAGATATAGTATTATAATAGAATGTGATTTATTTTGAGTGAACAGCTATTTGTTATAATTCACGTAGTAAGTATAAAATATGAGAGGTTAGCAACAGCGCAAATAGTTTCTCTATAATTCATAGGGTTTATCACACGAGTTATGTCTTCCGTAGAAAAAAAATTGTTTTGATAAATTGTATCACATTAGTCCGAGTATACTGGATACACGTTATGTTTATTACGTACATTTGAGATTTGCGTGCCGAACGACTCCCTCGTACTTCGTACTTTCTGCATGTCATATTAAAGTATGAAAATCAATATTCCTTAGTGGATATCGGCTACTACCTACTTGTACATTAATGCGATCAAATGTCGTGTAACGAGTTATCGAAGTTCTCGACCGATCGAGATGCGATAACGAGAAGATATGCAACTCAATTACCGGAGATTAAAAATCGATATAAAGCTTGATATGCGCTGCATATATAATAGAGGGATACCTTTTCCTTATTTCTTTTCATTATTTCTTTAACTAGGCAAAGTATAATGCCAATATGAATTATCATAAGCTTCAATTATCCCAAATAAAGTTAATAAAAAGTTAAATAAAAAATAAAATATGTTAAGTTTAGGTATTTTCCATATCTAAATTCTAAGCTGACGTACTTCATAAATTATTTCCCGAACAATATTTATCTGAAAAACAATTTTTATATCTTTATCATAATTACAATTAAATATACTATATGTATTTGGAGGTATAATATCCGTGTTCAACAATATCTTTTTACTTCTCACTATTCGATCGTGATAGGCGTTGCGAGTTTATATCACGGTCAACGTAATCACTGTTATTTCAACGTGAACAGTAATGCTCCGGCTTAAAGTCGCTCTACTTATACGTATTATCTCTCGGCAAAGGCAATACATGAAGAGCGAGGCAGAACGAGAGAGCCGATCTCCGGGCAATCATCGTTTTCAAGCGTCATTATGAAATTGCTTTGGCAAATGAAATGCGCGGTTATGCGCGCGCATACGCTCAAATTGAGATTTATTGGAAAATCGAAAATATGTTTTCCTACTCCTCCTGTCTCCGCCCAGTAACGGATCCGTCCGACGTTCCGGCGCATCGTGGGGCTGTATCGCCCACGCGGTGCATCGGCTTACACGAGACGGCCGCGTGCATGCAATTACGCGGGCTGATTCGAGGGAGACTCGAGAAATCGTTTCGCCGGGGGTCAAAATTGTTTCATTTTTCGCCTGCACGTACTCTCTTTCATCATGTGTCGAAAAAAGCATCGAGAGATGGAAGACACACACATACACACACAGACAAGAAGAAACATTCCAATGGAACTACTAATCTACTGAAAGTTCAAAAACTGCAGTATAATGTTTTATTC